CACATATAGCATGGATAAGTGGGAATTTATAGCCAAGGGGAGGGAGGCAGTGTCAATAGATGGAAAATTACCAAGAGGAAACATTAAGGATAAGGGGAGTTGTGGTTAAACCAACCTAACACAATTCTTGCTGAAGACAACCCAGGGTGATCAGACATCACCTGGTGAATGGTGGAAGATGAAGAACCTGATCAGATACTGAGAGTGATCAGATATCAAAGGTGGAGGTTCTTACTAAAACTAGAAGTGCACAGATGGGCCTATGAGAAGGTTCAGGAGCCTGACTAAAGTTTGGTCAAGCAAAGAAACTTTGTCAGGAGCAATTTGAGCTCTCATAGTCTTCTGGAGAGAATGTAAAATGGCACAATGGTTTTCTATAACTGATAATTTCTTAAGTTAAACATATATACCTACTCTATGATCCAGTAATTTCACTAGTTATCATACAAGAGAAATGAAACGTATGTCCACAAAAAGACTTGTACACGAATATTCAGAGCAGATTTACTCCTCTAATAGCCCCAAACTGGAAACCCCAATGTCCATCAACAGGAGAATGGAAAAGTAAATTATGGTGTATTTATTCAATGGAATACTAGTGAGCAATAAAAAGAAATTACTGATACATATGATGAATAGATTAATCTTACAGACATTACGTTGAAGGAAAGGTGCCAAACACAAGAGATGCATACTGTATGATCCATTTATATGAGATTGAAGACTAGGAAAAATAAAATCTATAATGACAACAGTTATCACAGTAGTTTCCTCTGGAGAGGGGAGGATTGGGCAGGAGATGAGAACTTCTGGGGTGATACAAATGTTCTATATCTTGATTGGGATCCTAGTTACATAGATGTAAAGATTTACTAAAATTCATAGAACCATATACCTTGTTTTATTGCACTTTGCTTTATTGTGCTTCACAGGTTTTTTGGGTTTTTTTTGTTTTTTTTTTTTACAAACTGAAGGCAAGACACTCCACCAGCAAAGAGATTACGACTTGCTCTATTGTGATAGTTGCTTTATTACAGTGGTCTAAAACTGAACACAGAGTATCTCCAAGGTATTCCAGTATTTAAATTATCATTTTATTGTGTATAAATTGTACTTCCTAATAACATTGATTTAAAGAGCAAAAGAAAAGGAGTAAATTACTGATACATATAACACAAATGAGAGATTTGCCATCTCATAGATATTATGTCGAGGAAAAGAATCCAGGTACAAAAAGAGTACATGGTGCATGATCTCATGTATATGTTTAAAACAGGTATATCTAATATATAGTGATATAAATCAGAACAGTGGTTGCCTGGGGATTGGTTGGGGTCAGTAGAATTGATTGAAAAGGCACAAGGGAACTTTCAGAAGTGAGGAAAATGTTCTGTATCTTAAGTGGTGGTTATACATGTGTATACAATTTTCAAAGCTCATGGAATTGTACACCTGATGTCTGTGCATTGCACTCTACATATATGTCAGTTGAAAATGAAACAGACAATGCAATGTAATGAAAAAAATCAAGTTTAAAAAATACAGTAGTAATTTGTACTGTAAAAAGTGGGGGAAGGGTAGGAATGTTTTCTCAGCTCCTAAGCACTCATTAAAACAGAAAGCATGCACACACTATGCTACAGAAGTGAGAATGCCAAACACCGTATTGTCTTCCCAAAGGACTAGTCTAATTCTCAGTATCTTCATCACCAATGAGCTACTGCTTGGAGTCTACATTATTAGGAGACAGCACCATGGTCTAATTCTGTGTTGGGCAGCAACCCCAGGGGACACTGCTAATTGGTTTTTTGAGGAAGAATGTTCCTTCTATCTTACTATTGTAGCAATCACTTTTTTTAAAAAGCTAAAAAACTAGATTTTGAGGCACCTCTCCCTCTTACTCTTTATCTCAACCATTTACACAGCAGAGATTTCATTAAAATCAAAAGCAGCAACACTAAAAGACTCAATTGTAAGTTCTTTGTGGCAGAGGTCTTTGGAGCAAAAACTAAAGTCTGGGTGCCCATTGCACTTTTGATTGCTATTTCATTACAAAATGCAGCTGCTGTAGCACTGAGAAGGTGATTCCTACATTGCTTCTACGGAAACACAATTCCTAGAGCTAAACATGGTTACCAGGGGAATTGAGGATATAATTTTTGCTTGTGTTGGTTTTGTAGGATGTTTGCTGAAATTCTTTTTATTTCACCACTTACACCTATTGGAAGGCCGATTGGCATTTGTTTAGTCCAGGTGAGTGCCAGTCTGTTTGGAGCAGCTCTGGGCAATAGGGAACCCTCTGCCAGGGCTATAGCGTTTATATTCCAAAAGGACAGCATCCAGCCAAAAGCCAGTGAGAATACCACTCCTCTCCAGACCAGAGACACACGAGAAAGGCAATTCTCCTGAAGCTGCAGACTAGACAGCCTCCTGCCCTGAGTTGGATTCAGACTGGAAAAATAATAACATTATGAGTTAACATTTTTTAATGCATCCTACACGATTTACTTGAATCACACCCATTTAATTCTCACAACTTTCCTACCGTTATCTTCATTTTACAAATAAAGAAATTGACGTTCAGAGAAGTTGACTTTCCCAAGATCACATGGCCCAATAAATGGCAAATCTTGTATATGAATTCAAGACAACCCAATTTGAGAAAGTAAAGAGCGATAACCGAAAAGTGAGGAAATAATGAAGGACCGTCTTTCCTAGGACCTGGGACTTGAATTTTACCTCTGGTCAAGAGCTCAGCCGTCATCCGATTGGCTGAGGCTGGGCAAGCCAGCCAATCATTGGAGGACAATAGCCTTTCCCTGGGTACTTTCAAACTGGCCGTTTTGGCCTTAATCCTTGATGAGATGCTGATTGGGTGAACCTGAACTGCATCTTATTACCTGATGATTTCATCTTCATCGCTCAACTGTGTGTCCCAGGGGCAGAGACCTTACCTGTTTTGCTCACCATTGGCTCCTCAGCACCTTATCCATAGTAGGGGCACAATGAACGACTGCTGGATTAGGGAGTGACGAATCAATAAATAAATTCGTGATCTGCAAATAACCATCTCTCACAATCACGCTAGATTTTGTGGTGTCATTATTCATTCTGAGTGAATGAGTACAGGGACTTGCACTGCTTGCCATCGCAGTTGAGGTGGACACGATAGAATGGCAGCTCTGCGCGGGAACTACTGCTCCTTCTCCCTCCTGATGCCACTATGTACCAGAAGCAAAAGGAGGGAAAGGATAAGAAGAGTGATGTAAGAACTCAGAAAGTAGCCTAAGAATAATGCCAGGAGCCAGCTCAACTTTGTGTTTGACTCACAGAGGTCTAATTAATTTAAAACAATAAAACAATTTTTAAAATCGTATGAAGAAGTGATTGAGGATACTTTTTAAAGAAGATAGGTAAAAATATCCCATATTTTCATTCAACACATATTAACAGAGCAGATTTCTCTGCAGCACACCCCCCTGACAGCTAGGAATTCAGTGCTGGTTGAGTAAGACATACTTCTAGCCTTACTGGACTTAACTGCAAGGGGAGAAGGATGCTAAACTTGGATTCTCAAACATACACATAAATATATTATATGAGGCAAATACAGCTTAGTGGGTAAGAATGTGGGCCCTGGAGCCAGTCCTCAGGCATGAAGTCTGGCTCACTACTTCCTAGGTTTATGCTGTAGGGCAAATTACTTAACCTCTCTGTGCCTGTTTCCTCATCTGTAAAGTAGGAATCATAATACATTTGTTGTGAGGAGTAAATAAGCTAATCTACGTAGACCTTTGGAAAGCTGCCTGACACAGTAATGTCACTAAGGGAAGTAAAAAGCACTAGTACAGGGAACTATGGGAGATTATGTCAGAGGAATGAGGCACATCTTCCTGAAGAAGTGATTTTTACCACTGAAATAGGGAGGATTAGGAAGAGACAGAAGTAAGAGAAGGACAGGGAGATGAGTTCGAAGTAGAGGTGTAACCATGGCAGCAGATGCACCTTGTTACAGGTCGTTTGGGGCAGCTTGGTGGAGGGGCGAAGTTCACACTCCAGGCTCCTCTTCCCACACAGGGTATCGATGCCCTGTTCAAGACTGTTGAACAGCGATTGGCCACAGGTCATGCCCCAGGG